CAGGGAGAAAGTGGTAATAGTTTTCTGGATGAGAATGCCACAATAAAAGCAACATTTGCTGAAATACTAAAACAAAATAACTCTGAAGTAATGACTGCAGTGATGGAGGTGGCCATGAAAGCAGCCACCTCGCAGGAGGCGGCACGCTCCACTAGCCAACTGCTGGAAAGGAAAAGATCAGTGGTTGCTGTGGGTATTAAGGAACAGGAAGGAACCAATAGGACAGAGTGGAATGACAAGGACAAAGCAGCAGTGAATGAAGTACTAAAGGCACTAGACATGGAAGGGGCCGAGCATAGCATTGAGAAGGTTTTCAGGCTAGGCCGGTACAACAAAGACCGAGACCGAATGATAAAGATAGTGTTTGCAAACGAGAACACAAAGGAGAGGATCCTATCAAGGAAGAGCTCCCTGAAAAACGTGGGAAAATTAAAAAATGTATTCCTCCAGCGAGACATGACAAGGGAGGAGAGAGCCGTGGTGGCAGAAGCAAGGAAGAGGCGCAGGGCGAGAGGGGAAAACCAGGAAGTCACAGCTCCCAACACAACACCACCAGAGGCGAGGGGGGAACCCACAACCAGCTACCCAGTAACACCAGAAGGGAGGACAACCCCGCCTCCCTCCTTTGTATAGAAAACCCCCCTACCCCAAACCCTCCCTGCCCCCACTCAAAAGTTCAGCCAAATCTCCCTCCCCCCAAACCCAATCCCCACCCTTCTACCCCTCCCCTCCTCCCGAGTCCTCCCTCCCCCCCTTTCCTTCCCGTCCTCCCTCCCCTTTCACCCCATACCCTCCCTGTCCCTCCCCCTTCACTGGATCCCCCGCCCCTCATTCCAGTATCCTCTGAGATCCTGTTACCCACCTCACAGGTCCTCACACCCATGGAACAGCCTCCCCCACCAGCAGAACACTCACCAAGGAGGCGATTTGAGAAGGGACAGAAGAAAGTGAGCCTCAAAGCGATGTACACTAACATAGATGGAATTACAAATAAAGCAAATGAGCTTGGAGAACTGGTACTAGAGGAAAACCCAGACATAATAGCCCTCACAGAAACAAAGATCACGAAAACAATAACAAATGCAGTGTTCCCACAGGACTATTATGTTATGCGGAAAGAGAGGGAAGGAAGAGGTGGGGGTGGTGTAGCTCTGCTGGTAAGAAAAGGCTGGGATTTTGAGGAGATGGATATTCAGGGCTGTGAAGGTTTCAGTGACTACATAGCAGGTACTGTAACAAATGGAGGGAAAAAAATTATAGTCGCAGTCATATATAATCCACCACCAAATGACAGAAGACCTAGACAGGAATATGATAGAAACAACATGGCCACCATTAACATAATAGAAAGAGCAGCTTCTGTTGCTAGCAGGAATGGATCTGGACTACTAATTATGGGAGACTTCAACCATGGGAAGATAGATTGGAAGAACAGAGACCCGCATGGAGGACCAGAAACATGGAGAGCTAAGCTGCTGGACGTGGCAACAAGAAACTTTCTAAGCCAGCATACCAAAGAGCCAACAAGAATGAGAGGAGAAGATGAACCAGCAATGCTTGATTTGATATTTACCCTAAATGAATGGGATATAAGGTAAGTTAAGATGGAAGCGCCCTTGGGAATGAGTGACCACAGTGTATTGAGCTTTGAGTACCTGGTAGAGCTAGGACTTATCTCCCCCCAAAAAGAACTAGGAATCAAATGGCTGGCATACCGAAAGGGGAATTATGAACAGATGAGAAGTTTCCTAAGTGAAATACCTTGGGACACAGACCTCAGAGACAAGTCTGTACAGGGTATGATGGACTATGTTACCCAAAAGTATCAGGAGGCAGTAAACAGGTTCATCCCGGCCCAAATGGGAAAAATCCGAGAAGCAACAGAAGAATCCATGGTATAATAGGGCATGTATGGAAGCGAAGAAACTGAACAAAAAGGCGTGGAGGAACTTCCGGAATAACAGAACACCAGAAAGCAGGGAGAGATACCAGAAAACCAGGAATGAGTACGTCAGGGTGAGAAGAGAAGCAGAGAAAAATTTTGAAAATGATATAGCAAACAAAGCCAAGACCGAACCAAAGCTACTCCACAGTCACATCAGAAGGAAAACAACAGTGAAAGAACAGGTATTGAAACTTAGAACAGGCGAGGACAGGTATACAGAGAATGACAGAGAGGTGTGTGAGGAACTCAACAAGAGGTTCCAGGAGGTCTTCACAATAGAACAGGGTGAGGTCACTGTGCTAGGAGAAAGGGAGGTAAACCAGGCGGCCTTGGAGGAGTTCGAAATTACGAGAGAGGAGGTCAAGAGACACCTGCTGGATCTGGATGTTAGAAAGGCGGTTGGTCCAGATGGGATCTCACCATGGGTACTGAAAGAGTGTGCAGAGGCACTTTGCTTGCCACTCTCCATAGTGTATAGTAAATCACTAGAGACAGGAGACCTACCAGAAATATGGAAGACGGCGAATGTGGTCCCAATATACAAAAAGGGCGACAGACAAGAGGCACTGAACTACAGGCCAGTGTCCTTGACTTGTATACCATGCAAGGTGATGGAGAAGATCGTGAGAAAAAACCTGGTAACACATCTGGAGAGAAGGGACTTCGTGACAAATCGCCAACATGGATTCAGGGAGGGTAAATCTTGCCTTACAGGCTTGATAGAATTCTACGATCAGGTGACACAGATTAAGCAAGAAAGAGAGGGCTGGGCGGACTGCATTTTCTTGGATTGTCGGAAAGCCTTTGACACAGTACCGCATAAGAGGCTGGTACATAAGCTGGAGAGACAGGCAGGTGTAGCTGGTAAGGTGCTCCAGTGGATAAGGGAGTATCTAAGCAATAGGAAGCAGAGAGTTACGGTGAGGGGTGAGACCTCCGATTGGCGTGAAGTCACCAGTGGAGTCCCACAGGGCTCTGTACTCGGTCCTATCTTGTTTCTGATATATGTAAATGATCTCCCGGAGGGTATCGATTCATTTCTCTCAATGTTTGCGGACGATGCTAAAATTATGAGAAGGATTAAAACAGAAGAGGACTGTTTGAGGCTTCAAGAAGACCTAGACAAGCTGAAGGAATGGTCGAACAAATGGTTGTTAGAGTTTAACCCAACCAAATGTAATGTAATGAAGATAGGTGTAGGGAGCAGGAGGCCAGATACAAGGTATCATCTGGGAGAGGAAATTCTTCAGGAGTCAGAGAAGGAAAAAGACTTGGGGGTTGATATCACGCCAGACCTGTCTCCTGCAGCACATATCAAGCGGATAACATCAGCGGCATATGCCAGGCTGGCCAACATACGAACGGCATTCAGAAACTTGTGTAAAGAATCATTCAGAACTTTGTATACCACATATGTCAGGCCAATCCTGGAGTATGCAGCCCCAGCATGGAGTCCATATCTAGTCAAGGATAAGACTAAACTGGAAAAGGTTCAAAGGTTTTCCACCAGACTAGTACCCGAGCTGAGAGGTATGAGCTACGAGGAGAGACTACGGGAATTAAACCTCACTTCGCTGGAAGACAGAAGAGTTAGGGGGGACATGATCACCACATTCAAGATTCTGAAGGGGATTGATAGGGTAGATAAAGACAGTCTATTTAACACAAGGGGAACACGCACAAGGGGACACAGGTGGAAACTGAGTGCCCAAATGAGCCACAGAGATATTAGAAGCAACTTTTTTAGTGTCAGAGTGGTTGACAAATGGAATGCATTAGGGGGTGATGTGGTGGAGGCTCACTCCATACACAGTTTCAAGTGTAGATATGACAGAGCCCGATAGGCTCAGGAATCTGTACACCTGTTGATTGACGGTTGAGAGGCGGGACCAAAGAGCCAGAGCTCAACCCCCGCAAACACAACTAGGTGAGTACAACTAGGTGAGTACACACACACACTCACACACACACACACACACACACACATACACACACACACACACACACACACACACACACACATACACACACACACACACACACACACACACACACACACACACACACACACACACACACACACACACACACACACACACACACACACACACACACACACACACACACACACACACACACACACACACACACACACACACACACACACACACACACACACACACACACACACACACACACACACACACTCACCGAAACATCACCATAACACATTCACTCCTCCAAACACCTCCATTACACACTCACCCAAACACCATCATACTCAAACACTCACTCAAACACACTCAAACACACACACACACACACACACACACACACACACACACACACACACACACACACACACACACACACACACACACACACACACACACACACGTATGTTCACACACAAACACGCACACACACACACGAAAGTAAGAACGTCATTGAGAAACCTAAGTGAGGAGGCTCTTAGGGCACTTTACACTGCCTACGTGAGACCAGTCTTAGAGTATGCCGCACCATCATGGAGTCCCCACCTGAAGAAATACATAAGGAAACTGGAAAAGGTTCAGAAGTTTGCGACGAGGCATGTCCCGGAGTTACGAGGGATGGGATATGAAGAGCGCCTGAAAGAACTGAACCTTATGACAAGAGGGAAAAAGAAGGGAGAGAGGAGATATGATAGAAACATATAAATACTCAGGGGACTTGACAAAGTGGAAATACATGAAATGTTCACACGTAATAGCAACAGAACGAGGGGACATGGGTGGAAGCTGGAAACTCAGATGATCCACAGAGATGTTAGGAACTATTTTTTAGCGTGAGGGTAGTGGAAAAATGGAATGCACTTAAGGAACAGGTTGTTGAAGCAAACTCTATTCATAATTTTAAAACTAGGTAAGATAGGGAAATGGGACAGGAGTCATTGCTGTAAACAACCGATGGCTAGAAAGGCGGGATCCAAGAGTCAGTGCTCGATCCTGCAAGCACAAATAGGTGAGTACAAATAGGTGAATACACACACAGGCGCGCGCGCGCGCAACATCACCTTGACGATGAGCTGTGCCTTGTTGAGAGCATCACCAACACAGCGCATGATGCCAGCGTGAAGTCCTCCAGTCATGACCACCGCCCCAGTGGACTTTACTGCCTGTAACAACAACAACCATTATGTTTATTATTGCTATACTTATAGCCGTTACTTTTATTGACCCTTTATTCCTTGCGATGATACCTACCATCATGTTTATTGGTGCTTTACTTCCTCCATCGACAACAACCTGTCATGATCCAGCATATACTAGAATATTTGTATACGCTGTGATCATTCATTAAGGTCATTGTACAACAAGTATAGATTGATTTTGTTATATCTTGTATACAATATTATGTTCATGTGTATTATTATATGTCTATTAATATGATGTTAAGTAATTTAGGCTATTGTTGGTTAATTGGTGGTGCTATACCTTATATTGTGAGGATGTAATACTCATAGTCAGGGGTATGATATCAGGTGGTGATATATAATATTGTACTGTGTATCATTCTATATATATATATATATATATATATATATATATATATATATATATATATATATATATATATATATATATATATATATATATATATATATATATAATGTACCTAGTAGCCAGAACACAGTTCTTCGCCTTCTATGCAAGGTCCGATTTGCTTAATAAGCCAAGTTTTCCTGAATTACAATGTCTTTATAATTTTTTTCTTATGAAATGATAAAGCTATCCATTTCATTATGTATGAGTTAATTAGTTAATTTTTGAGGTAAAACTAACGTAGATATTTGACCGAACCTAACCTACCCAACCTAACCTAACCTAACCTTTCTTAACCTAACCTAAACAATCAAAACTAAATTAATAATTCATGTTCTTAATATAATATAATAATAATAATGTTTAAAATAAACCAATTGGAAACAATTTATTGAAAATAACAAAAATATTCGTCCTATTAGGCAAATTGAGCCTTGCATAGTAGGCCAAGAAGTGCGTTCTGGCTATTGTGACAGTAATCTTTTTCAAGAGAGATTTAGCCTGCTCCTTCCTACATCGCATTACTTTTACACTTCTGCAACATCATGATACCACATTCAAGAATAGTATATAAGTGGAATAGCAGACGTCTCTACAGTGGGTACACTATTCTCTTCACCCCCCTCCATCGCTGTCGGCGCACCACCTCGTCGATCACCAAACGACCACTTCAAACCAACACTCTCCCCATTAGTGAATCAGCGACTTCATGCGACTTCAGCGCCATCTGCATCGTCTACATATAGTCTCGCACGAGCAGTTGGCATCAGAATATTCTTGTGCTCACGAGCTGACGCTTCTATCTAAGCATACGTCCTGTATATTAGTTGAGGTTTCAGCCAGCCCACTAGTCTCAGCACCTTTAACTAATTTTTGTCTTGCTTATTGTAGAGTAACGTAATCATTATTTTATTTTATATTGTGTTTTGTCTTTGTATATATTTTGATCCGCACTGTACATAGCCAAGGGATTATCTTTATTTTGTTTATATTTGTTTAAAGTAAATTAAAGTTCATTATTTATAAGACTTGTTTTGCATGTTTTTCCCTTTCACTTTACCACAGGAGACAACCGCCAACCAGTCAACATTTTGTTTCTCTATTTTCCTTAATGTGATTGGCATTTACACCAGCCATAGAGAAGACTGCATTAACACCTACATTTCTCGTCACATTAAATATATATATAAATAAAAATGGAAATGTTCGTTTGTTCAAAATGGCTAATCTCCAAAAGTTCTTCACCGATTGCTTTGAAATTTTCACACAATGTTCCTTTCGCATCCGGCAAGGTTTTTATATACACACTCTATAGATGTCACGTCCGTGACGGTAAAAAAAACATGCTTTACTGAAAAACTGTGTTTTTTCATGTGTTTTTCAAGTGAGGGAAATCTTTGAAACCTCTTTACCAATTGCTTTTAAATTTTGACATAACGTTGCATTCGAATAGGCGCGTCTTTTTTATATATCTACTATATGCATGACTCACCTGTGTCGGGGAAAAAACATGCTTTTTTAGAAAAACAGCGCCATCTGTTGCACATAACAGCACATCCACGCTATACTAAATATGTCACGAATTCCATTTCGGTGTTTCCAATTGCATTGATAAATTTTATTTTCATAGATTTCGATTTATTTTATTATATATTAAATTATTTTGTGTGACATTGTGTTGGAATTGAGCTGTGTTTTTTACCATACCGTTCATTTTGATTTTATAAGTATAGATGGCACACCTGTTACAGGTAAAACTATGCTTTTCTTGAAAAACAACACCATCTGTTGCATGTAAGAGCAACACACATGCTGTCTATATAAATAAAAATAGAAATGTTCCTTTGCTCAAAATTGCTAAAATCGCTTCACCAATTGCTTTGAAATTTTCACACAACATTCCATTCGCATCCGAGCGGGTTTTTATATGCATACTATATAGATGTCAAGTTGTTGACGGGAAAAATCATGATTTTTTTGAAAAGCTGTGTTTTTCGTGTGTTTTTCACGTTGGGGAAATCTTCGAAACCTCTTTACCGATTGCTTTTAAATTTTTACACAACACTGAATTTGAATAGGCGAGTGTTTTTATATACATACTGTATACATGCCTCACCTGTGACAGGGAAAAAAAAACATGTTTTTTTTTTTTTAAACCGCGCCATCTGTAGGATGTTAGAGCAACACACTCTGTAATCTCCGAAAGTTCTTCACCGATTGCTTTGAAATTTTGACACAACGTTCAATTCAAATACGTGCGTGTTTTTATATACATACTATTTACATGTCACACCTGTGACAGGTGTAAACATGCGGTGTTTTTTTAAAAAGTGCCATCTGTTGCATGTAAGAGCAACACACGATATACAAAATATCTTATTATTCCTTTTCAATGTTCCCGATTGCATTGATAAATTGGATTTTCACAGATTTTGATTTATTTTCATCTTGATTATATTCTTTCGTGTGACGTTGCGTTGGAGTTGAGCTGTGTTGTTTACTATACCGTTCATTTCGTTGGTATAGCTTATTTGTTTCTTTTTCATGGTTTTCATTTCGTTTTTTTGACTGTTCTTCTATTTTTTCAATGCAATTGGTGATGAATTTGAGCTGTGTCGATTGATCTGCGTTTGAATTAAAATATTTCGTTAGTATTTTTTGCTTTTGTTTTGTAAACAAGAAAATGTATAACACGTTTATTTCACAGCTGCAAATGTGCAACAAACAGCCATGAATCCACCGGCTACAACGTGTACTGTTTTCTTCACGTTATGTCAAAAGGACACGTTTGCAAAAACACTGCTGTGTTCGGAAGTGCCTACGCATTACACATAGAATGCCAGTAGAAAATCATTTGAACGACGCAAACGAGGAGAGCGAGTCGACGGACAACCTGGCATATTCAAATAAACTACGATAGGCAGACTGCACACGGTGCATCCCAATCAAGAGGAATGCTTCCTTCTTCTCATGCTGTTGGTGAACGTGCCCGGTCCAACGTCTTTCCAGTCATTGAGATTTGTCAAAGGCATAATTTATGCCACTTTCTGTAGTGCATGTCAAGCTCTTAATTTATTGGAGAACGGCCGACACTGGGATGTATGAATTAATGACGCGTCCAACACGTCACATCCAAATCAAATTCGAGCATTGTTTGCAATCATATTGACCACCTTCACTCATTCGTCTCATTCAGAGTTATGGGAGAAATATAAATCGCACATGGCTGAAGATATTATCCGTCGAATAAGCAAGGAAAATTCAAATACGAACATTGATTTCACATCAGAAATCTACAACGAAGCGTTGATAATGACTGAAGATTTGTGCTTAGAAATCGCAAACAAAGTTCTAAAAAAAATGGAAATGCCTCACCGAATCGATCTGCTTCTGCTTCGTTAGATGTAGAATTGCGTCGGGAACAAAATTACAACACGGGTGATCTGTTGTCGCATGTGCAGTCAAACATTCCTCAGCTAACGCTTGAGCGAAAAGGCATTGTCAATCAAATAATTCAAACGGTCAATAATGGGTATGGAGAAATCTTTTTAGATGCGCCAGGAGGAACTGTAAAACCTTCATAATTAGATTGATTTTGGCAGCATTTGGATCCCAAAATGGCATAACCTTAGCTCTTGCATCGTCCGAAATAGCTGCAACATTACTACCAGGTGGAAGAACTACTACTTCGGCTATGAAATTGCCATTGATCATGCAATTCATTGAAACTCCCACGTGCAACATTTCCAAAGCATTGCACAGATGTAAACTTATTGTTTGGGTTGAATGCACAATGGACAAAAAAAAAATCGTTCGAGGCTCTTGATCGATCATTGCAAGATTTGTGTGGAAACATCAGATCATTTGGGAACGCATAAATGTTGCCAGCAGTAGATTTCCGGCAAACATTACCTGTAATTCCTCGAACGACACCAGCGGACGAAATAAATTCTCGCCTGAAATATTCTACTTTGTGGCGCCACGTAAAGACGTTAAAATTAACTACAAATATGCGTGTCTAGCAGCAAAACGATCCATCAGCTGGGATATTCTCACATCAATTTCTGAAAATTGGGAACGGAAACGTGCCGGTTGATTTGACCTCAGGACGAATATCTTTGCCTCAAAACTTCTACAATTTAGTGACATCAAAAGAAGACTTAGTTGAAAAAGTATTTCCTAATGTTCAAACCAATTATAAGAATCACGATTGTCTGAATGAACGAGCTCTTCTTGCGGCCAAGAACAAAGACGTCCACTAAATTAACAATATTGTTCAGTCTAACATTCAAAGCAAGGCAGTCACAAGTCCGTCAACACTGTTGAGGAAGTAAGTAAGTAAGTAATTATCAAAAGAAGGAACCAAACTGGGAAGGCTATGTAGCACCATCAAATGCGCAAAATAATCAGAGGGCGCTAAATATGACCAAGGATGCCAATACGAGAACAAAAACGCATAAGGCGAACGATATCAAAAGTATCCGAGTCACCAAGAATTCTATTGAGGGACAGGTGACCGCGAGGGGCGGTCGGAAAGCAAGACACACGCTCGTCCTGGAAGTCAGGACATTCA